AGTCCATACTTGGCCTAAGAACACAGAAGCTGACCTTTTGGCTGGCAATAAGGTCTCAGGGGCATGGTAGTTTCTGAATGAATTGATATCAGCAAGTGACTTAATAGTGAGGCTGCAATGGATATGCTGCGTTTCTCATCTGTGCATGCAGTTGCCTTGAGTTGGTACATATCTCACACCACACACCAATATTTAAAGTCACAGGGGATGGAAAAATTCAAAATCCTCCTTATTTAGAGAGACCATGATTACCTTCTCCCAGGAAAAACTGTCCTTTTTTGAGGGTTCCCTTGTTGGTTGTGTTCAGATGAAACATGAGATCTTGAGGAATGCTGAATAAGTCTTTTTTGTTTTTTTAGTTGCTTAGGACATTACTTGTATGAATATAGCATTGTGAAGAAAAGAACTCCCATGTGTATCCTGTTTAAGCATGCTCACAGAGACTAGCATTCCACTACAGCACAATCTACATTTTAAATGGTGTATTAGTATATGCTGTTGAATTTCCAACACCTCTGACTGAACTTGCCCAGTAGGTCTCTGGTTGTGGGAACTTGCAGAAGATTGAACATATACTGTACTGTTCAGAGTATATGCTCATGGGTCCTGTCAAGAGCTCAAGATGGACATTGTCAGGTTTTTTTTTTCCCCTTCTCTCCTCTTCCAGTCCACTCATTACCATTCCTTGGTGCAAGCGAAGCTCTAGGTTATATGTACACATATCCAAATGGTGTCTTGTCTTTCCTGTCCAAAGATGTCACTTTTTATCCCATAGGCTCTGATCACATTAAAAGCAATCACCAAGGGGGAAAAAGTCAAGTGGTCTAGTGTTTTGTTGAGGCAGGTCGAGCCTCTAGTCTACTCCTTGGCATCCCATTGTCTCAAGTTGACAGGATCAATTCAAATGGTAAAACTAGACATGTGGAGGCTGTCTTCCAACAGTGTTCAGACAACAGAACTTTCCCTGTGCCAGAGGTTCAGGATGTTTCCAAATATGAGATTCTGTGGTTGTGGCTAAAGTCGGCAAGCCTGTTTCAACTGTTGTCTATGTCCCTATCCAGTGATCGTGTTTAATAAAGGAATTCTATGTTAACCCCTTCAACATCCTTAGTCCAAGGTCAATGACCATCCATTGGGGGGGGAGGTCTCCAGCATCTTGGTGTTCAGAGAGCCTTTCAGATCCAAAGAACCTCTGTACTAGTTCAATGAACAACTGGATGTTTTTTCCATGGATTTGGTGTCTACTCATATATGTAGGAACTGCTGATGGAGGTACCTCAAATCATGGATTCAGCACTAACTCCCCATAATTTCCTGGCTGACAATATAAGCCATGAAGCCCTGGACAACAATAAAGTTTTCTTAGCCAGCAGTTTCCTGTGGATCAACAGCAAGTCAGGTTTCCAGATCTTATCCTGATGGCAATCGCTAAGAGCACAGCTTGCAAATGATCCTTATCAAGAGAACTTTCTAAGGGCAAGAGTAATTGATATTTTAATGCTTTGTTTCCCTTCAGTCCAAATGGTTTCCGGTTCCTAAAATAGGACCCACAATTATCGTAATAGGGGATGGCAATCAGTTGCTTGTGGCCCATCTGTCCAGGTTTCCCTCTTGTAGATTCTGACTCTGGAATCTTCTAGTCATCCTATAATCTTCAGACCTTCTACAGCAGATGCTACATCCAAAACTACCTTAAGCAGCTTGGGGGTTGGACGTTAAGTCTGCCTTGCCTGGATTACTCCTTCAGTCATTGAGTGTTTGTTGAATGCTAGAGCACCTACTAAATGTCACATATTCTACCGTGTGGAGTAAGTTCCTAGACTTTGCAAGCTTAAAAGTGTTTTGTCTCCACCTTCCCATGATGGGTATATTGGACTTTCCTCAGGCAAGCAAAATGCATTTGGGTGTCAGTATCCTCTCTATTCATCCTCAGACACAATAGGCGGCTCATTAATTGATAAGCCAGCTCTTAAGGGCTTGCGCAAGAATTCACTTCAGGAAAGTTACTACTTTTCCCTTTTAGGATTTGCAAATATTGCTGTATGTTCTTCCTTCCTTGACTTCGTCTAGCTCACACTTACTCAGTATGGACCGTAACATGTAAAATTAGTATTTGTTAGCAAAACCACCCTATTGCTATCATTTCACAGACTGGGTAGTGCTAAATCGCTCTCCCAGCATCTTCCAAAGATTGAAAGATCCTTCCATCTAAATAGGACATCATTGTTGCTTGTATTCCAGAATTAAGTTTTTGTTTCAGCTCATGCCTGAAATGTGGCTGCTATGCTGAGGTGGTTTAGTGCCTCTCTGCGTGCACTAGGTCACATGCATTGTGCCTGGTCAAGCAGATGGAGCCACAGATGAATCTCTGGGTTCTCTCTCCTGAAGGATGTCATCCTTATTGGTAGAATTTCCCTAATCATCTTCCAGGACAGCAACCTGAGAGATGATTGGTTCCACCTTCTACAGGAAACACAATTAGTAAAATAGTTAAAAGCCCCTTCCCCTCGTACCTCAGTTTAGATTGTGTTTCCTACTGTCCAGGACCAAGTCACGTTTGTTCTTTTCTTCCTGACCAATTGGCCTTGAGGTCACAGATACCATTTGTGCGGCTCTGCTGTTGAAAGTTGTTTTTCTCCCTTCTGGCCTTGCTGTAGAGTGGAGGGTTTTTTCCCCCTTCTATTTCTTGACAAGCTATGATCTGATTCCTTTCCTCCCTTAAGGATCCACTCCTGTGGCCCGGTCCTGCTTTCCCTTGCTTGACCTAAAGGATGCGTATCTCCATATACCTAGGGATCTTTCGGCAGTAAGGGAAGCCTTGGTAGCCTTTCAGGCAGTGTTGGAAAATCAACATTTACAGATATTTTCAGACAATTCAAGGACAGTGGCTTACCTGAATCAGGGTGGTACAAGATCGCAACCCCTGTTGAAAATGGCTCAGATTTTTCTGGGAGCAGAACAGAGTGCTTTCCATCTCGGCGGCTCACATAAGAGGGGTCAACAACATTGCTGCAGATTTCCTAAGCTGGAGTCCCATACAACAAAACAAATGGGAATTACACCCAGAGGTATTTGCACAGATTGTCCAATTATGGGGTCAGCCAGAGATAGATTTACTTGCTAATAAAGACTCAGGAGTTCTTCTCCTTGAACAGGGCTCCAGGGGGGTGGATGCGCTGGCACAGGACTGGACCTTCAGCCTGGGTTATGCATTCCCTCCGCTGGTCCTGATTCTACAGTTTTACAGAAATTGAGAAGATCAGCGTGTGGTCGTTCTGTTGACACCCTTTTGGCCAAAACATGGTTCTCAGAGCTACTGGCAAGTTCAATCCAGACTCCGTGGACCCTTCCAGCAAGGAAGGATCTTCACGGCCCAATCTTGCATCCAAACCCGGATTATTTTTTTTGCACTTGATGGCCTGGTTCTGGAGAGTAGGATTGAGGGGGAAGGGTTGTTCAGAAAAGGTAATCAACACTCTTATCTAGTCAAATTAGTTACTAGAAACATTTATGGAAAGGTCTGGAAAGTGTTCTCGAGCTGGTGTATGGACAGGAATGTTGCTTCCCCATCAATACCCCTAATTTTAAAATTCTTACAAGGGGTTGAAAAAGGATTAGCCCTCTGTACCATTAGGGTACAAATGTCAGCCTTTTCTGTATTTTTGCAGTGTAGATTGCTGGAAGAGCCTCTAGTTAAAGGAGAACCTACAGGATTGAGAGGTGAGCGAACCTGGTATGTGTTCGCTCACCTCCCGATCTACTGAGCCGACCTGTGACCGTCTCATTGTCACAGGTCAGCTAGAACTGAGGTGAGTGGAAATCACTCATCTCATAGTTCTCCTTTTTAAGAGGTTTATGTTGGCAATAGAACATTCTTACCCTGTTAGATCAAAGGTATTTCCTCCCTGGTTTGACAATATCCATTTGAATCTATATCAGGGGCTCTTATTAAATGGTTGTCCCTTTAAGATGGTATTTTCTTAGCAATTACCTCAGCCAGAAGAGTGGGAGACTTCAGGCCCCATCAATCAAGGAACCTTGCTTGACTATTCTCCCAGACAGTAATTTTGAGACCGGATCCATTGTATCTGCCAAAAGTATCATCCCCGTTTCATAGGTCTCAGGAAATTGTCTTGCCTTCATTTTGTGATGACCCAAAAGATCAGAGGGAGATATTTCACACTCTAGATGTTAGATGGTGTCTCATTGAATACTTGGAGGCAACTAGGCATTTCAGAAAGTCTAGTAATTTGTTTTTGGCTCAAAGGGGTTGCAGGCCTCTAAGGCATCTATTGCCAGGTGGATCAGACAGGTCATTGCCTGGATTTAGAAGTCTGAGGTGGAACAAATCTGAAAGGCAGCTATCTGGTGAAAGCAGGACCCTTTCATCAAACACTACAGATTTGAAGTCCTGTCCCAGCAAGATCTGGCCTTTGGCAGAAAGGTGCTTCAAGCAAGTATCCCGCCCTAATTGGGTAGGCTTGTATTTTATGTACGTGTTTATCCTCTCAGGTTGCTGTCCTGGAAGATGATTAGGGAAATGTTCTGTTAGACTTACCGGTAACTATTTATTTCTAGGAATCTTCCAGGACAGCAAGCCTACTTCCCACCCGGAATGTATGGAATGGTATTTGTTGTCGTTGTGTCCCCTCATTTACTGGTGGTGGTCTCCTTTCATCTCAACTGAGGTGGAAGTGGAGGGGCTTTTAACTATTTTACTAATTGTGTTTCCTGTAGAAGGTGGAACCAATCATCTCAGGTTGCTGTCCTGGAAGATTCCTAAAAATACCGTTACATCTAACGGAAGATTTAGCGGTGTACCTCGAGTTATTCTGGAAGGCAGTAACATGGTCCATGTTCCTTTCCCATTACAGGGTCTATCCAGGAGCCTTGTCCATGGTGAAGTTTGGTTCTGAATGTGATTTAACAGTGGTATGTATAAATAAATCAGCCTTACCCTCCCTGGTTATGTGATCGCTATGTCCCATTGTATGCTGCCATGTGGGTGTCAGGAAAACGGAACATTTGTATACTTGCTTATCTGTAACTTTTCCTTTCCTGACACCAATACATGGCAGCAAATGGGATCCTCCGATGGCTTTCGCATTGAGTACTTGTTATGAGAATGGCCGCCTTTGGAGGTGTGCTTTAATTTATAGTAGAACTGGTCCTGTGATTGGGCTGGGGCAGAACTATACCCATTGTACGCTGCCATGTATTGGCATCAGGAAAGGAAAGTTACCGACAAGTATGCATTTTTCTGTTGGTGTGTGTATATAATTTATATATATATATATATATTCATCTATCCATCTCATTCAAAAAGAATCAACACATTACATGTATTTACTTCTATTTTCTTTAGGCTTTTCCTGTCCTTCCCCCAAACCAAAATTTACTTTAGCCACTTTGACCTGACCCCTGGCTCTGATGACATCAGGGCTCATGGTGGCAAGGTTATGAAAGCTCTTCATAATGCAGCCAAACATCTGGATGACCTTCCTCGCAAATTGTCCTCCCTCAATGACCTGCATGCACAGAAACTAAGGGTGGATCCAGGACAATTTAGGGTAAGGACTACTTAATCACTAGTCGACACAGACACGTTGATTCAGGTGGAAATAATTCGGGTTTACAACATAATCTAGTAACTTATCTGGGCCCCACTTTTAATGCTAATATTTTATGGGTCATGCTTGAGTGCAAAATAGACTGAGAAGGCTTGGTCAGTTTTTAAGAAACTTGTCATAGTATAAATATAGAGGCTGCTATTGCTGACCTTTTGGGGGGGGAGGAAATTACTGGCTGTCAAGCTTATTCTCTAACTAAATTTTCAGTCGGTAAGCTTAAACAAATATGACAAGTATGACAATGTAAAGCCAGAACTCTTGCTCTGCTTGCTTGTTTTGAGTCACTGACTTGGAAGATATTGAAGCCAGAGAGTCCACAGAACAGCCAGGTAACATATGGAAAAGTTACCCTGTATTTAAAGTAGATTCCAGCAGATGTCATTAGATGCATTAGAGAGAAGCAGTTTCGCTGAATACTGAAAAATGGCCTGGATGGGAAGGGGGTTTAACACCGCGGATGTCAACTGGTTAATGTTTAGGCATTAGTTTATGTTCAAATAAAAAAAACTCTAATTTATTCCTCACGTTTTCTGGAAATTTCCTGTAGACCCAATAACAAACTGCACTTTTTCTTCAGCTAACAATCTGATGCTTAGTTTCTTTGAAATATAAAGCCTAATTGGTTGCTATAAACAAATAAAACTGGAAAACCTGAGGAAGCTAATAAATGGGGTATTTTATCAAAACTGGAGCAAGCAAAATCCGGAGCAGCTGTACACAGATCTCTCATTTTCAAATATTATCTGAAGAGGCTGATCAGTTTCCATGGGCAACTGCTCCAGGTTTTGTCTGCTTTCGTTTTTGATTAACCACCCTCCCATGGTGTACAGTGGTTTGTACATTGTTGTCCTTAGTAAATTGTGTGTTTACACATTACATCTTCTGTTTCTCTTTGCAGCTGCTGTCTCGCTGTATCCAGGAGGTCTTGGATTATCACTTCCCTAATGATTTCACAGCTAAAGTTCAGGCTACCTGGGAAAAATTCCTTGTTGAAGTTTCTGGTGTCCTAACTGCCCAGCACAGTTGAATTCATCCTGCATAATGGGCTATATCTGTAATTACTGCAAGTAAAGCGATGTGCATTGGGAAGTTTTTGGAACTATTCTAATTGCAACCTTTTCACAATGGTTTTTCAGTATTTTACTTGTGGATATTGTCAACCAAAATAAATCTGGTGTTATCTTGAATCAAGTGTTTTTTTTTTTGGTTTTTTTTTTTGGTTTACCTCATCTGTTTAATTATATTTTGTTCTTTTGATAGTCTGACATTACTAGAGATAATGATGTAGTCCATTTTTTGTTTTTTTTTTTAAATATCAAACCAGGTTAAAAAAAAATCGCTCTGCAATCTGAAGAGATATTTGAACATGGGTTTGCAGGACTGGAATGTGTTTGACAAAGTTTAGAGAGACTTAACCCCCACAAGCCTTCAACTATGCAGTGTCAGATATTTTTTTTTTAAAATTATACATACAATAAAAAAAGTAATTGAAGACTACCTCCGGGGAAACCAAAAACCCTCACAATGCAAGGATTAACTACTTGTTTTGTTTCCCCATCGTCGCAGGCTCCTAAGACTGATGTCCTCTAATGCAGGGTCCAGAGCACTCTGCCTCATACTCAGAACACTGAGTAACCATCTGTGAGTGTAGGAGGGACGAGGTGAGCGCTGACCATTGGGGTATCTGGTAAATGTGCTTTACAGAATCCTGCCAACATAAATGGGCATTTAACCCTTGCAGTGCAGAGATGCCCCCACTGCAACAGGAGATGTTGTTTCCCTGGAGATAGGCTTTAACTGTAAAGCATGCTGTGCAAAGGAAGTATAGAGTGGTGTGCATTTCCACCCATTTCTAACATCTTATATGAGATATAAAAAAAAAAATTAAATAGTTTAAAAAACATTTTTCCTAAACCACAACAAAAGGCAAAAGCTAAACCTGAAATATCTGAGAAGCTTGCTTTCAGTGGTGCATCTTGGG